TTATATAGATTCAAGACCCTGGTCTCAGAATCACCGATGTCACTCTCCAACTTTATGAAGAATTCTATCGTATCAGGGGGAGGTGATGGCCTAATGGCGTTATTGCGAGGCATTAATCTTAGGAGAGAAACTATACTTGTTTCTGACCCCAATCATGTGTCCTCCAAAACTGCCTTGAAAGCTTTCACTTTCTGGATTGTCGAAGTTAAAATCAGTCCTTGATTATTCTAAACCAAAAGCAAGCTAATGTCTTTCAATGCTTACAACCCACCCACTGATGTAAACCCCAGCAATCTTTTGTTAATACACCAAAGGTTTTTACTCAGCTGCCCTCTATCACATAATGGATTCGATCATGGTTCTGGAAGAACTCTCTGTGTTATTTTAAATATTTCACAAAAATTACCTATATAAATACGCCACTAGTTTGAAATCAAATGCCTAAAAATGATATTAAAACAAATAGGAATCACATATCTGTCATTACAATAACAAATGCAATGTACTTGATTGGAATAATTATACATAAATTTCCCTTTCATGTTCTGAACCAGAATTTCAAAAGACATTTGACAAAAATTCACTTTAAGTTAATTCTGAGTGGTAGAGATATAGGATAAATTTTGGGAATGCATAAATAATTGGTGTAAGGGTAGAACACAATGAGTATTTGTTGGAAGAATTATTTTGGGTTGGGAAAAGCACTGTGGGAATGTCTCAAGGCTCAGTTTTCTGACTACTATTATTTCCAACTCCATCAATGACTTAGATTCAGAAATTCAATGAAAAATCCGTCAAATTTGCAGCTGGTCGCAAACCAGCTGATGGAATTGGAGGGTCATACAAAGAAATGTCAAAATTTGGCAGACTCTGTATATGGAAAGAACAATTTTGTGGTAAGGGGAACTAAGATCTTTTGGATAGGTGATTGAAGATGGGCCAAATAGCTCTTTTCATCAGTAAATATCTTGTGAATGCTGTAAATAGATCAAAAAAAATCGACAAGTTAGAGAAAACGGAGCATAATTTTAAGGCAATTGCCAAAAGAATGAAGACTTTTTTTTAAACACAGGAACTTTCAGACATGGAAAACCTCAGTCTCAACTGTGGTGCAAAAAAACCAAATAATTACTTGTTGAAAGGATGATGTTTCAATATTTGAAGAGAAGAAGTACCAAAAGTTCTCAGGAAAGGGCAGGGAAATGGCATTATCTTACAGAGCTAAATCAGGTACAATTGAGTAAATATTCTCCTGTGCCATAAAATTCAATGGGGAAATTTTGTTCGTACAGTGACATTTCAAGCAGTGCTATGCAGACTTGATTATTTCGTACTGGCCATGATGGCGTGGAGGACATTATAAACATCCCAAAAATATGAGATAAGCAAGGTACTAATGAGAGGAATGGTCTTGCAACAGTATTATGAGGAACAAAGTATTTGAGAAATTAATGGGACTGAAGGCAGGCAAATGGTCAGGAGCTGTTGGCCGGCATCCATGGGTTTTAAAGGAGTTGACTGCAGGGAGAGTAGATGCATTGGTCGAAATATACCAGAACTGACTGGATTCTGGCAGGGATCCTGTGGATTGAGAAACTACTAATATGAACCCTCTTGTTCAAGAAGGGAGGGAGACAGAAAGCAGGAATCTACAGGCCAGTCAGCCTAATAAAAATGGTTGGGAAAATGCTGGGATCAATTATTAAGGAAGAAACAGCAAGACATTTGGAAAAACTTAATTCAATGTAATACAGTCAGAATGGTTTTGTGAATGGGAAATCAGATTTGACAAATTTACAACTGTTCTTTTAGAATAAAATAAGCAGAGTTGATAAAGGGAACTAGTAGACGTAATGTATTTGGATTTCCAGATGGCATTTGATATGGTGTCACATAAAAGGCTATGAAAGGAGAAAGATAGGAGCTCATACTTTCGGGGGTAATGTATGAATACGGAATAAGGAATGATTAACACATAGAAGACAGTCAACATTAATGGGTCTTTTAAAAGTTGGAAAGACGTAACTAGTCGACTGCACGAGGATCTAACCAAGGCTTCAATCATTCACTATGTATGTTAATGACTTTGAAAAGGGCAGAGTGTAATGTAAACAAATTTGATAATGGTAGAAATTCTGCAACAAGTAACTCACCTCTTGACTCTTCAAGGTACAAGTCAGGAGTGTAATGGAATACTGACCACTTGCCTGGATGACTACAGGTCCAACAACCTTTTAGTTTATTCACTCATGTGATGTGGACATCTCTGGCTGGGCTAGCACACATTGTTCCATTCCTACTTATCTAGAGAAGGTGCTGGTGAGCTGCTGCAGTCTATTTACTGTAGGTAGACCCAAAATGTTATTGGGGTTTCAGAACTTTAATCCAGTAACACTGAAGAAACGCAAAAAACTTCCAAGCGATGATAGTGATTGGTTTGAAGGAAAATTTGCAGATGGTGGAGTTCCAATGTATCTACTGCCCTTGTCCTTCTAAACGATATTGGTTGTGGGTTAGGAGGTGATGTCTAAGGAGCCTTGGTAAATTACTGCTGTTCATCTTCTAGATGGTAGACACTGCTGCTAGTGCATTGGTGGTGGAGGAAGTGGAAATGGTATCCAAATGAGCTGCTTTATCTTGGATGGTGTCAAGCTTCATGAGTCTTTTGGAGCTGCAGTCTTCCAGACAAGTGGGGAGTATTGCACCATACTCCTGTTTTAAGATCATAAGACATAGGAGTAGAAGTAGGCCATTCAATCCATTAAATCTGCTCTGCCATTCAATGAGATTCTGGCTGATCTGATAATCCTCACTTCCACTTCCCTGCCTTTTCCCATAATTCTTGATTTCCTTACTGATTAAAATTCTGTCTGTCTCGGCCTTGAATATACTTAATAGCCCAGCTTCAAAAGCCCTCTGTGATAAAGAATTCCACAGAGTCATAGAGCGAAAAAAATACCTTTCTGTTTTAAATGTGTAACCCCTTATTCTGAGATTATGCCCTCTGATCTGAGACTCTCCTGCAAGGGGAAACAAAGTTTCTGCATATACCCCATCAAGTCCCTTAAGAATCTTGCATGTTTCATTAAGGTTGCCTCTCATTCTTCTAATTTCCAATGAGTATAGGCCCAACCTACTCAACCTCCCTTCATAAGACAGTCCCTCCAAGCCTGGTATCAGCCACATGAAACTTCTCTGGACTGCCTCCAAAGCCAGTATGCTTTTCTTTTGATAAGGGGCAAAAATACCATTCACAGTATTCCAGCTGTGGTCTAACCAGTGTCTTGTATACTTTTAGTAAAACCTCCCTACTTTTATACTTTAATCCCTTTGAAATAAAGGTCAACATCCCCCTTTACCTTGGATGCTAGTTCTCTGTAATTCAGCATATAGGTTTCTGCAGTCTTTTTCCATTTAAATAATATTCAGCTCCTTAATCTTCCTGCTGAAGTGCAGAACCTCACATTTCCCCACCTGCCAAGTTTTTTTTATTCTACCTGCCATATTTTCTGCCCCCATTTGCTTAAACTGTAATATATCCCTCTGCAGACTCTTTGGGTCATCCCCATCATTTGTGTTTCCACATATTTTTGTGTCATCCGCAAACTTGACTATAGTACATTCACTTTCCTCATCCAGGTCTTTGATATATACTACAAAAATTGTGCCCTGCAGCGATCCCTGTGGCACACTACTAGATACAGTTTGCCATCTTGAAAATGTCCCCCTCTATCCCAACTCTGCGTTTTCTATTAGTTAGCCCATCCTTAACCATGCTAATATCCTACCTCCAACACCATGGCTTCTTGTTTTACTAAGTAGCCTAATGTGTGGTACTTTATCAAACACCTTCTGAAAATCCAAATATATTACATCAACTGCTTCCCCTTCAATCCTGCCTGTTATCTCCTCAAATAATTCTAGTAAATTTGTCAGGCATGTTCTCCCTTTTGTGAAGCCATGCTGACTCTGCTTTTTCATATTATGTATCTGTAAATGTTCTGCTGTTACATCCTCTATAAAAGACTCCAACGTTTTCCCAACAGCACTTGTTGAAGCTAATCAGCTTATAGCTGCCTGTTGTTTTGTAGATGGTATGAGGAAGTCAGTTACTTGCTTCAGGATTCATCGCCTCCGATCTGCTGTTCCAGCCACTGTATTTATATACCTAGTCCAGTTCAATTTCTGGTCAATGGCAATCCCCAAGATAGCTTGAAACTGCATGACGAACCAGCCTGTTCATGACAACCCATCTAATATATCTGACACACAGTGGCAGCTAGGGGTACTGTCTATAAGGTTATTGCAGCAACTCACCAATATTTCTTTGACAGCCTTCCAAACCAGTGAGCTCAACCAACCAGGACAAGGGCAACAGACGTATGGGAGCTCTACCACTTATTCAGTTCTGTCCGAATCAGTCCTCAATTATCTTACTGTTCCTTCGCTGTTGTTGGGTCAAAATCTTGAAACTGCCTTTCTGATAGCAATATGAGTGTTCCCACACCATATGAACCACAGCAGTTCCAGTAGAGAGCTTACTATCAAATTCTCCAAAGGAATTAGCCAGCCTAGCCAGTGACACAGACACAACCCATCCAGAATAAAAATCAGGCCTGACTTTTGCCTTCCTTTCGAACTGGGAGAAGGTGCCAGTTTTGATGGAAAGTAACTTCAGATGAATGCTGTTTCTCTCTCCAGATTCTGCTTGGCCTTTTGAACGTACTCTTTTAAAATTTCAGATTTTGCATAATGATCAACATAAGCATATTAGTGTTTATACTGTGGTGTACTTTTAGAGTGCAAGGAGATAATTCTCGACTCCAATTGTAATCCATTATTCTTACATACGCAGTCGAATTGTAGCATATTGTCAGTTTGCGGAAGCACTGCCTGCTGCAGTGTGGGAGTTGTAGTCCAGTTGGCAACTGCTGGAGACGGCGCCTTTTTCCGTGGAATGTAGAACTACAAATCCCAGAGTTCAACGCTGCTGCGCAGGCTTATTGCGAGTTCAACATGGCTGCGCCCGTGATGTTGTCGAGAAGGAGGTGAGCCTTTGACGTGAGAGACGGGCTGATTCTTTCTTTAAAAACCTGTCGCACTCACGAGGTGTAGAAGTGGACGAGAAGCACACCACTATTTGCAAAGATTGCTGCGAATTTATCTATTTCGTGGGCATCCTGGGCCTGAATTGGGAACATTTCTGACCGCCAAGTGAGTATAATTTCACCCAGTTCGACCTTCGGTAGATTTACGGTGCGGTGCCAAATTGATTCAAATTGGACAAAACTCTCTTTGGACAGTGGCATTGTCTCTGAGATTATTGGCTGCAGTCCGAGATTGAACAAGGGAGTCTCTCTTCAATCCTGAGCTTTCACGTGTCGCGACAGAGGCCCCCGAGCTGCAGGGAATTATTTTGATAAATGATCCGAGCAGCCAGCCCCAGTGAAAGTAGCTCCGCTCTCATGGAAAATAAGGGCAGCAGTAGGCCATTCAGCCCTTCGGCCCTGCTCCGTCATTTAATATAGCTATGGCAGACCGTCCAACTGAATAAAAACCCTAAAGAACTGCGGATGCTGTAAATCAGGAACAAAAACAAAGTTGCTGGAAAAGCTCAGCAGGTCTGGCAGCATCTGTGAAGGAAAAAACAGAGTTAACGTTTCGGGTCCGGTGACCCTTCCTCAAAACAGATGCTGCCAAACCTGCTGAGCTTTTCCAGCAACTTTTGTTTTTGTTCCATCCAACTCAATACTCAGTTCCTGCTTTCTCCCCAATCAATGTTTTGTATCCACATTATACTTTGTTTGCCATGCAATTGTCCACTTACGTAATTTATCCGAATCACACTGAAGCATATCTGCACCATCCTCACAGTTTAGTCTGTCACCCAGCTTTGTGCTGTCTGCACACTTGGAGATATTGGTACTGATGAAGGATCACTCGACCTGAAATGTTAACTCTGATTTCTCTCCAACGATGCTGGTAGACCTGCAGAGTTTTTGCAGCAAATTCTGCTTTTGTTGGAGATATTACGTTTAGTTTCCTCATTTAATTCATTAATGGATATTGTTAGTCGCTGGAATACAATTACTGATTCCTGTGGTACTCCAATAGTCACTGGCTGCCACTTGGAAGATGACTTGTTTATTCTTATTCTTTTTATCCTGTCTACCAACCAGTTCTTTACCCATATCAGTACACTATCTCCAATCCCATGCGTTTTAATGTTACATTCCACTCTGTTACATGGGACCCTTTCAAAAGTCTTCTGAAAATCCAAGCAAACACATCCACTCGCTTTCCTTTTCACGTCAACTAGTTGCATCCTTGAAAAACTCAGTAGCTTTGTCAAGTAAGGTTTCCCTTTTGTAAATCTAGGCTAACTCTGACCAATCCTGTCACTACTTTCCAAGTGCTCTGCTACTAAATCTTTTACCATGAACTCTAGCATTAACTCTCAGTACCAATATAAGGCAAACCAGTCTGCAATTTCCTTTTTCCTTTTTGCCTCCTTTTTTAAATATTGGGGTTACTATAGCTACCCTCCAATCTGTAGAAACTCATCCCACCTCTCTAGAATCTTGAAAGATGATCCCCAATGCACCCACTATTTCTAGGGTAACTTCCTTAAGTACTCTGGGATGTTGATTTTGGAGCCCTGGGGAATGTATCAGCCCAACAACTTCCCCCAACACCATTTCTCTAGTCATACTGATTTCCTTCAGTTCCTCCCTCTCACAAGACCCTGGGATGTTATTTGTGGCCTGATTTGTGAAGACAGAACCAAAATATTTATTCAATCGGTCTGCCATAATTTTTTTCCCTATTATACTTGTCCTGCTTTTGATTGTAAATGACACACAATTGTCTTCACTAATCTTTTTCTCTTCATATATTTATGGGAACCTTTGCCATCAATTTGTATGTTTCTGCATGCTTACTCTTGTATTCTATTTCCCCCCAACTTTGATCAATCCCTTTGTCCTCCTTTAAAATTTCAGCTGCTCCCAATCTTCAGTTTGCTTTTTTTGGTCAATTTGTATAGCCTGCTTTTTTTTTGTACCTAACACTATCCCTTATTTCCCTCGGTAGCTATGGTTAGGCCACTTTCCCATTTTATTTTTGTGCCAACCTGAAATCAACTAATGTTGCAATTCCTCGATGTGCGCTTTAAATGATTGCCATTGCTAATCCACCATCATCTCTTTAATTAATTTTTGTAGTAACAATAGTAACATTAATGGTAACAATTTATCATCACCAGCTCATGTCTCACACCATTGTAGTTTCCTTTGTTTAGATTCAGGATCCTAGTCTTAGAATTAACTGTGTCACTCTCCATCTTAATGAAGAATTCTGTTGTATTACATTTGCTTTACCTAAAAGCGCTTTGCACAGCTAGACTGTCAATTCCTCCTTTCTCGTTACACAATACCAGTCTACGGTGGCATTTTATCTAATTGGTTCCTCAATGTATTGATCCAGAAATCCAGCTTTTACACAATCCTGTAACTCTGCCTCTATGGCATTGTTACTGGTTTGAATTGCCCAATCTACATGCAGATTCAAATTGCTTGTAATTGCAACTGCACCTTTATTGCTTGAGAATCTAATTTCATGTTTAATGTCTTCTCCAATATGAATACGACAATTTGGGAGTCTATATACAATCTCCACTGTCGTTTTGTGCTCTGTCTCTTCTGGGTTTGTGTTGTTTCCCTGAAATGAAAAGGGAAATGGGTGGGACCCGAGCAGCTCGAGATTGGCTCTTCTGTTGGCATGAAGTCTGTGAGCAAGTAATGTCCCTGCTGAGCTGGCGGCATAGCGTGCGATTTTAAACCCCAAATGTGGTCTAAGCGCAATAAGATAGTGCATACAAAAAAATCAAAATCACAACCAAAATTAGAAAATGCTGGAAACAGGCAGTCAATTAATTCATAAAATAAAAGCAAATTACTGCATATGCTGAAAGTCAGAAATAAAAAGAAAGTCCTGGAATTACTCAGCAGGCTCGGAAGGATCTGTGGAGAGAAACAGATGATTTCAAATATTGCTCTTTAGACATCTTGGTGAGAGTATGAAAATAATGCAGAGTTTGATTGGAGGAGTGGTTGGCATAGGTGAAACAGACTCTGAGTGGACCTACTTCTCCAATCACCGATTCTGCCTCTCCCGTGCTTACTGCTCCAGCTCCTTCAGTCACCGTGTATTTGACTGAAAGCAGCATTGGAACATAAATTTACCTTGCCTCATGTATTAGCTACTGAGATAGGATTTTTTGCAATTTCCATAATCAAATACTCTCTTTAGCTGACAAATAGACCATTTTATCCAATTTGATGTCCTGCTCTGTTTTTAACTGGACTTTAGCCTTTCAGACAAACTGTGACAGTTTAATCAATTACTGTTGAGTTATAGCACTTAGTTATACATGCATGCTTTCAGACACAGAAACATTGAGACCAGTGACTTTTAATCACTAGGGCATCATCTGACTGATTAAGTCTGCTGTATTCAAAAGTTAATGTGCCTTTTTATTCATTTCATCTAACTCAGCAAAGTTTAGGTTACAACCTACAGAGGGGAGCTTGCAGGTGGTAATCACATGTATGGTGCCCTTCCCCTATTATCACAGGCTTGGGAGGTGCTGTCAAAGGACCTCTGGTGATTTGCTGCAGTGCTTCTTGTGCATGGTATAGGCTGTTGCTGCAGTGTGCTGCTATTGGAGGGAGGGAAAGTTGTCTAGGGGATCCTGATGAAGTGGGTTGCTTTAGCCTTCATAGTATCAAACGGTGTGAGTGTTGTTGGAGCTGCACTGAGCCAGACATCTGGGAAGTCATACAGCACAGGAAAGGGCCGTCAGCCCATCAAGTCTGTGCCAACCTATCTACACTAATCCCACTTTCCAGCACTTGGCCTTGAATGTTTGACGTTTCCAATGCTTATCCATGTACTTTTTAAAGGTTGTGACGTTTTCCACCTCTAGTACCCTCTCAGGTAGTGTATTCCAAATTCCCGCTGTCTTCTGGGTCAAAAAGAACTGTCCTCAAATCCCCTCTAAACCTCCCGTCCTTCATCTTAAAATTATGCCCCCCCCCTCCTTGTTATCAACCTTTTAACTAAGGTGAGCAGCTACTTTCTATTCACGCTGTCCATGCCCCTTGCAATCTCACACAGCTCAATCAGGTCCCATTTCAGACTCCGTGTTTTTGGTCCAGTGACCCTTCATCAGATCCCTGAAATGTTGACTGTGCTTTCTTTCCCCACATGCTGCCAGACCTGCTGAGTTCCTCCAGCAATTTCCGTTTTTGTTTCGGATTTCCAGCACTCAATTCTTGATTTTATTTTAGTGCACCCTCAAACTTCTCCGCTCCAAAGAAAACAACACAAATCCAGCCTCTCTTCATAGCTAATGTGCTCCATCCCAGGCAACATTTGGTGAATCTCTTCTGTAACCTCTATAGTACAGGCACATCCTTCCTAAAGTGTGGTGATCAGAACTGTATACATTATTTCACCTGTAGCCTCACAAATCTACAAATCCAACATAACCTTCTTTCCCTTATAATCTATGCCATAATTGATTAAAATAAGTGTCCTATATGTTAACCTAACTACCCTATTATCCAATCTTTCTGCTTTCAGGGATCCTGTTCCTCTGAGCTTCCTAGTGTCCTACCATTTATTTACTACTCCCTTGTCTTGTTACTTCTTTCAAAGTGCATCACTTCACACTTTTCAGGGTTTTCATCTTCCATCTTCATCAAATTACATCTGCCACTGATCAGCGCATCTGACCAATCTGCCTATATCCTCCTGTAACCTTAGACATTCTTCCCCACTTAACCGTTTGACCAATCTTTGTGTCATCTGCAAACTTGCTTAACATCTCCTCACATTCTTACCTATATTGTTTGTATATATTACAAACAATAAGGAACCCAGCACTGATCCCTGTGGTATGCCACTGGGCATTGGCCTTCTGTCATTCAAACAGCCTTCCACCACCACCCTCTGTCTCCTACCATTAAGCTAATTTTCCAAGTCATTCCTAACACCCCTGATATACCAGAGGCAGTCTTGTTGGTGATTGTTGCCTTGTACTTATTTGGCGCAAATGTTACTGCCACTTGTCAACCAATGGAAAACTGTTTTGCAGGTCCTGTTGTATGCAGACATCGATCGTTTCAGTATCTGAGGAGTTTTGAATGGTT